CGCCCTTATAAAATATGAAAGTGTCAGTTTTTTATTTCAAACATCCCAATATTTCTATCGACATTATATCTAGTGTGATGAAGTACGATTGTATAAAATATTCAAAAATTAAAATACCCAAACTCTCAGATTTTAAAGTCTTTAAATTGAAACATTTTCATTACACAGCGGAATGTTAAGGCATGTTACCAATTTCGGTGGAAACTTTGCCTCAATCGGCATTGGGTTATGTTTAAACTAAAAAAAACCCCGGTCATAGTGAAATAGGTTTTAAAATATCCTCCCTTCCTTCCTTTTTCGTGGAGAATCGTTGTCGACCTATCAAATGTTGTTATTTTCATACCCTCTTCTGTTGATTCAGCCAACATTTCCATCGTTTAGAATATTTTACCCTGTGTTGTGGAAGTTTTCTCTTTCGTTGAACTTTCCACTTTTTTGTTGATGCAATTGAACATTCCGTTCAGTTTGACTGGACATTGAATAATTTTGTTGTTGCTGTTGTTCAAGTGGTTTGGTGGAGTGTTTACGGTCTTCATGTTACAGGATACTTTGTTTGGGAGCACTCCCTCAGTTCTTATTACAGTTTATCTTTGATTGAAGTTGTTTTGACGTTTCTTGTTTTTTGTTATTTTGTTTTTGCATTTTTTTGCTGTCAATACCAACATCTAGTGCAGTTTGTTTATTCACCTTTTTTTTGTTCTCTCTCTGTTTCCTTTGATGGTTATATCCTTATTTGCCTTTTTCAACAAAGATTGACCAATTTATCTTCACTTAAATTTTAAACGCTTGGCAAGATTTAGAATCTGATCGTTTCTTTGAAAAATGTAGCTCGTCGGGAAAGGGAGATTTCTTTGTATGTGCGAAATAGTTTAGAGAAAGGAAAAAGTTAAACAAGGCTAGCTTTTAAAAAAATGTTAAACAACATTGAGGCCATAGAGAGATGCAATGCGATTTTTTTATGATTCAAGAACTTGCGAGGTATACGTTGAACTTATTCCATTAATCCGTGCACCACAAAATCTAAGAGATGCAATAAAAATTTATTGTATGTTTGGTGTACGAAATTTAAAAACATGCGAATAAAAGAAAACAAATTTTGGTTTTTCTTATTATTCCCGTAATAAACCCATCACCTAAACCCAGAATTTCCTAACCAACATCACCTAAAAACAAGTAAGCAAAGGCTAAAGTCGGGCGGGGCCGACCATTTTATACCCTACAACACCACAAGTCTCAGCAGATCCGAACTCCCTTTAACTAAAATGAAGATTCCCCTAAGAAACATCCCCACATCTACTATGTCATAAATGCAATAGTTGAAACGTATTTCTCCTCTTTTCAAATAATCATCACATATCTGGAACTAATATTTTCTTAAAACATAATATCCCTAAATCCCAAATCGTCGTAGCATTTGATCTATATTTACGTCCTTGTCGTATTAATTGGTATTCACAACAATATTTGAAAATGCAGATGCTGCCATATGATTTCCTTTATCTCCGATATTTGGCTGTCTGATTCTGATTTTTCACGCGCTGGGCTTCAGCGCTATCTCTAACTTTAATCCCATGCGAAACATAGACAATGTTTGAGTTTTTGGTCATTTTTAAAACCTTAACATTTTTCGAATATTTTCTAATAAAAATTTTCTTTTGTTCTGATCATAACCCTTCCCCATGTAAAATTTCATGAAGATCAGACGATAATTGCGACTTATATGTAATACCCCAACACATAGTGTTGCAAGGTGAAAAAAATCACAAAATATACAATTCAATATTGTAAGTTAAACTGAAAAAATATCATGCCATAACAAAAAAAAACATTTTAATAGCATACTTTTAGGCGATATTTTATTTGTTTATTTTTTATTCTCTCTGAATTGTTGAGTATTCTTCGTCCAGCCATTATTGAGTTATAGGCGGTCTAACTAACATCTCCTTCCTTGAAATATATGATTTTATATATGTTTCTACATATGTGGTATATGGGATATCAGCATCAATGTAATTGTTTTTTTTTCTTTTATTTGTGCTTTCGCTGAAATATTTGCGTTTTTAAGAAAATTTCCATTTTTTTTAATAAAAGCTGTATTTCACCCACAAAATATATTATTCGATAACCATTCAAATTGATAGAATCCTCCTCAGCCATAGACTCTAACCCCATGTTTTTGGTCTATTTCTATAAATATTTTGCGACCATCTCCAAAAAGCAATAGGCCTTTATTCTGTCTTTAACCCCATCTCCATGCGAGATAGTTATTTTTTATAACACTTTTTTATAACAATTTTTATGTAAATTTTTCCAAAACTCCATTTTCTGCATATTAAGTACACAAAAAACTTGAAACCGGAGGTAAATGAAAATTAAGTATCAATCGGATTTGCTGTCAGATGTCTATGTTCGATTATTTAAATATATTTCGAATTGTGTTATGATTAATATATATAAATATTGCGTCGTGCCAGGTATTGATTATATCGACTATTAAAATGTACGTGATGGTACCAGATATACTTTACCGAAATATTCCATTTTTATACTTCGTCCAATACAAAAAAAAAAAAAATATTGAGCAAACTTACAAGAAAATCTAATATTTATATTCAATTTTAGGCGAAATCATAAATTTCGATAAATTTAATATTCGGGCTTCTCGTTGAGAGAAATATTTCGCAAGTTATAACAGATAAAATTATTTAAAATTGTGACACTTTGTGGTTGAGGTACTAGAAGGGGTTCGCAGATATATATCAACTTCACAATAGATCTTGTGTTAAAAAACAATGTTTATTACTCAAAATATTGAACCCTATGTGGGGGAGGTACCAGAAGGAATGGGCTGATCTCTTTCTTCTTTATAACAGATCCTGTGTTGATAGGAATACTCAGACGTGCCAAGTCCAAGTTGAATCGGATGTTAATTTCGCGTTTTATGAGCTGAATGGATATTTAAAATTTCGATCTTTTGTGGGGGAGGTACTAGAAGGAGTGGGCCGATATATTCCATTTTAAGACCAGATCTTGGGTTTATAAAAATATTGGAGAGTGTGAACTTTAAAGATAATCGGACTCTTACATCACATTTTATAAAAGTTGTAATTATTCAAAATTTTGAGCCTTTGTGGGGGAGGTACTTGATGGAGTGGACCGATATTGTCCATTTTCGCACCTGACGCAAATATTAGAATTTGCTAAGTTGAAGCAAAATCGGATAATCGTCCCTCTTCTGTACAGAAAATATATTTTATGAAAATTTCCACCTTTTGTGGGGGAGGTACCAGAAGTAGTGGACCGATATTGCCTATCTCGGAACTCGATCTAAGTTTGAGAAAAATATTACGATGTACCGAATTTGTATCAAGCCGGATACTCCCTTCGAGAGTTATCATGCGCACGAGCCAGAGAGACGGACGGACGGATCGTCTAAAACCGTTATTTCAATGAGGCATGTTTTGAACGTATCAAATGATATATACCTTCTGTAGCCATATAACTAAGAGTATAAAAATGTTTTTGAAAGTTATACAATAGAAACATTACTCTCATATAGTCCGCTTTTACTTTGACCGTCCGTCTGTCCACGTATTTTTGTAAACAAAGTACAGTTCGCATTTATTATCCGATTTAGAAATGAAATTTTCCAAACAACATTTGTTTGGCCCAAGGACGAACCCTATTGAAATTGGAGATAATCGGTCAAAATTTAGATACAGCTCCCATATATATATCTTCGTCCCATTTGCCTTTTATTGTGCATCAAACGTGTAATATCAGCCCAAATAGTATGGAATTTTAGAAATCGGTTCAGATATAGCTATAGCTCCCATATATATTGTTCATCCGATTTGTTATTTTTGTCATCCGCAGCCGTAATATGCACTCTGTAACAACAATATTTGGGGAAATCTATCACATACAGCTCAGAAATAAATTTTATCGAGATCGGTTCAGATTTGGATATAGCTCCCATATATAACTTCGTCCGATTTACATTTTATTGTGCACCAACGTCTAATGTCCAAATGAGATGGAATTTGGCACTGACCGAATTGAGTCTAGAAGCTAGTATGTCAAATTTGGTGAAGATCGGTTCAGATATAGCTTACCCACAGCCGTTATATAAACTCCGTAATAACGATATTCAGGGTAATATATCAAATACAGCTCAGCCCATATATAACTTCGTCCGATTTACATTTTATTGTGCACCAAACGTCTAATATTTGTCCAAATGAGATGGAATTTGGCACTGATCGAATTGAGTCTAGAAGCTAGTATGTCAAATTTGGTGAAGATCGGTTCAGATATAGATATTACCCACAGCTATAATATACACTCCGTAACAACGATATTCAGGAAGGTATATCAAATACAGCTCAGAAATATATTTGCTAAATTTTATCGAGATCGGTTCCGATTTGGATATAGCTCCTATATATATCTTTATCCGATTTCAAATTAATTGAGCACCAAATGGGCAATACAAGTCCGAATTTAAAAGATACAAATGCTTTGGCATATTTAGTCCCTTGAACTTTAAATTATAATTATAATCATAGTGTGTATGATTGAATTCTCCCATAAAAACTTTCAATTGTTATGCGGAGCTCTACTAAATTAGTAAAGTGGTGTAGGGTGTCATAAAGTCGGCCCGCCCGACTTTAAGCCTTTCGTTACTGGTTTACTTATTCATTCTAAACAATGGTATCATATGGTTCTCCACGATGATGATAGAGTTTTTGCTGAGGGCAAGAATATGATACGTACTTCTAAGGAATTGAGATATGTTTAAGATTTTAATACAGAAACGTTAATATAGCTTCTCGTTTTTTTTACCAAATTGTGTATACTTGTTTGCCTCATACGCCGAGAGAAAACTACGTCCATAATATTCCTTGTCAACATGAAACAAACAAAATTTCAACAACTTCAATATTCTTCATTAGTTCAAGTTTTAAACAAATTCCATTATAAAAGTAATTAACACTTACCACATATTGCCAAGAATATGAAAATAATGGCAAACTTGATGAGACCATTTAAACTGGTGATGTTGTTGGTGTTCTTGTTGCTGATGATAGTCCATGGAAAACTGTTGCATGTTTTGATTTTGTTGTTGCTCTTGTTGTTATTATTATTATGGCTAAATTGTTGCCTCGTTGGCCTGATACTATTACAGTCTCTGTTGGCGACATTATAATCGTTATTGTTGCTACTGCAGCTGTTTGCCAATGATTTTGCTGTTTTAGTTGTCTTCATCATCCTCATGGTAGTCGTCGCTGATGTGGTGTACATGTTGCAAGTACTCCTATTATTCGCACAGTGCATATAATTAGAGTTGTCCTTAGTGGACGACAATAACAGTGCAGAGGACGGTGACATGGAAGAGGAGGAGGAGGTGATGGCGGATGACGGCGAGGCTGCGGACATAGATGACGGCGACATTAGACAATGATTTGAATGACAACATGCTGTTGAAATGGAACAAACGGAACAGGCGGATTTTAAACAGCTGGAGTCTGACATACACCCACTGGGGCTAGTGTTACATGAATAGTCTGTGTAATTGCTGATGTTGTCTTTGTCATCAGTGTCGTCCTGTGGGTCGTTGCAGATCTTCTTATTATTGTTGTTGTTGTTGCTTGTCGTTTTGATAGTGTTAAACTCTAACAACGTGTTGCACTTTATCTGTTGATGTTCTTCGTTTTGTTGTTCGTTATTATTATTGTTGTTGTTGTCCCAATCCAATAATGATAATTCGTTGGCGGCTTCTGCCACACTTGATGCTATTTGCGTTCTCTCCTCCCTTGATGTTAGACTAAGTTTATTTATTATTTTCGCTTGCATTTTATTTAATGCTTCTTTATTTTTCTCTTTGGAGGTTTATACTATGAAAAACACACGTTTCACTTATCTGTATTTCTTTCGTTCTATTCGAACTTTTGGTTATTTTTAGCACTCAACACACACACATGCACAAACATACACTTAATGTCTGGTAATTTCACAAGCTGTCCTTCAAGTTGCATAATAAAATAATTGTCTCTTGTGTGTGATGTGATGAATGACTTCTTGACACTAATTGAGTGCAGAAAGTTGAACGATTTTGTGGTTGAAAAACCTGCAAAACAGAAAATAGGTATTTTTAAAATTTAACATATGTAAGTGAACATCAGCACTTGTAAGTGTAAGATTGTTTTTATATTAAATATAAATTAAATATATTTCTGAAATCAATATTAAATTCCGAAGTAGATTAAAATTTAACATTAATTATTAAATGTTTGGCTGCAGTTCCATTCGTTAATATTTGGAATTTTTTTACCCTACGACAATACGACCCGTTCTTATATAATTTCTTTGTATTCCAGTTTTTTTTTTATCCCGTACTTCAGGAAGAGTGAAGGATAATGTTCATTATAACTTCTTTTAAAATAAATGACTTTTTTTAGAGATTTGAACGGCTATTTGCAAATTTAACTTGTAGTCACTCTCACATTTTCACAATAGCATCTTCAATAAAAAAAGTTAAAAGGAAGATGGTCTGATCTTTTGCTTATCGAACAGTTAATATTCAAATTAAACATTTTAAACTTGTAATAAAGAACAACGATTTATTTGTCCGACAACATAATTTTTATAGTCATACGGCAATAGAGGGTATACAGGGTTGCCCATATTCGACGGACCCATCAGGCAACGCCATAACTTTGACCGTTGATACGGTCAAAACGTGCCTAATCGAAATAACGGTTTTAGACCCTATTTTCTCTTTACTCCAAATCCGTTTAGGACATTTGGAGTCGCCCGTCTGTCTGGCTGGTGTGCAAGATAACGCTAGAAGGGAGTATCCGATTTGGTCCAAACTTGGTACACCATAATATTATAGTTAAACTAAGATCGAGTTCGGAGATGGACAATATCGGTTTATTTGGTACATCCGCCACAAATGCTTAACATTTCCAGAGAAAATAAAAACTTTGCAAATATGAAATATCGGCGCACATGTACCTCGCACAAGAAGGGTCAAAATTTTAAATGTTTAGAGCTCTTATAAATGCGAAAAAGCATCCGATTCTCTTCAAATTTCACAAATACCAATATTTTAATTAAAACCTCCCCGACAAAGAAGTAAAAATTTTGAATTCAAATTTCACACATAATAGTATTTCTACTAGCATAGAATCAGGTGTAAAGATGGTAGATATGCGTCCACTCTTTCTGGAACCTCCACCACAGAGGGATCAGCATTTTTTTAACAAAACACCTAAAAACGCATGCAACTTACTTCAAATGTCACACATCACAATATTTCTACTAACACAAGATTTGGTGTAAGGATGATAAATATATGTCAACTCCTTCTAGTACCTCCCCCATGAAAGGATCACAATTTTGCATAGCCGCTAAGCTCATAAAACGCAATATGATCATCCGATTATTTTCAAACTTGGCACATATCAATGTTTCTATCAACATAAGAACAGGTGTGAAGATGGAGTATATAACGCAAGATATGGTGTGAAGATTATAAATATCGGCCTACCCCTTATGGCAACTCCCCAAAAAAGGATCATAACTCATAACTTTCGCAATAAGACAGCTATTAAATTTATACCTGTTATTTATAAATATTTCCCTCAAGAAGAGATATGTAGTGGGATTCTCTGACTCATCTTTTGTTACCGACAAAAAGCGGAAACTTTGAACACTTATTTGATTTCGACGCCATCTTACCGACAAATTTTGTAAATAACCAAAATTCAATTCAAGAAATGAATTCAAATACTGATGTGCATATGGAATTTTCTCCCCACTACATCTGATACCTCCTCCAAAAAAGTTAAAATTTGGTTTTCGCATAAAATTACAATATTTTGTTAGTATAAAATGATATATATATATATATATATATATATATATATATATATATATATATGCATATATATATATATATATATATATATATATATATATGCATATATATATATATATATATATATATATATATAATATATATATATATATATATATATATATATATATATATATATATATATATATATATATATATATATATACGTGCATTTTTTATGGTCATCGGATATGACTTGGCTGGAGAAATGGACCACAATTTTGTGTGAAAAATTACGAAATTATTGAAATCAGAAATACATGAAAGGCCTACTGTAGACCTTTACATTGTTTCTATTTTCGGACAACATACAGATTTTAAAATATTGTTTTGAATATCCATTAATACGACATAAGGCGTAACTATAGAGCAAATGCCATGAAGATTTGCATGGCGGTTTCGGTCAAAATCCAAGATAACAGAACCATGTGACATTATTTCAAGCATTAAATGAAAACAAAATATTCAATATGCCAGGAAAAAGTTGTTGAATGTGCAATATCTATTCTTTTTGAAAAAGCGAATAGAGCATTTTACGTTGGCTTTCATTATGTGGTAGATATGGGGATGTTTCTCAGGGGAATCTTCATTCTTGTCAAAAGGATTTCGTTTGGCGTAATGCAACAAATGTATTGGTCCAGTGAGGACCTTTAATACATAGTGCATTCATTGGATTCTATTGGATTCTTATACCCTACAGCACTATGTGTTGGGGGTATTATAAGTTTGATTGGACCAAAAATTATGTAACAACTCGAAATATTGGTTTCCCACTTAGGGAACTTCTCGTCGAGCTAAGTCGATCTAGCTATGTGTGTCCGTCCGTCCATGTTAATTTGTAATCAAGTTAAAGCCGCAAGTATGAGCCGATCTTCAAGAAATTTAAAACGGAGGTGGGGTTAGGGTCAGAATAGAACCCTATTGTTTTTGGAGATGATTGAAATGGACAATAAACAGAAAATTTTCCTGATTTTGCAGTTGGCCACAATTATGAACCAATCGACGCGGAAATTTACATGGAGTTAGAGTTTAGGACTGGGCAGCTATCGGACAATATATCGGGTAAAATAGATCCTAGCTTTTATGTAAGAAAATAGAAGAATTTCTACTAAATCGCCAATATTTGTAATCCCAGCCAAATCACAAATACTTTAAAAGGTCACTTCTGATGCTGAAAGCCAATAAATCGAATAGATAGCGAAATAGGTAAAATATATATTTAAAAGAATATATCTTATTTATTCTGCTTATAAGTCAGGGACCCCTGGACCGATTTTCACAATTCCCACAATTTGCCACAAAAGGATACAATCTAAGAAAATCGCTAAAAATAAAAAGTGAATATCTTTTGACTCATTTTGTTTTCAATTTTTGTCATTTTTTATAAAATGCTATTTATACCCTACACCACAAGGTGGTCAGGGTATTATGTCTTTGTGCATTTGTTTGTAACAGGCAAAAGGAAACGAGATAGACCCATAGTTCCTTTTGATGATCTGCATAGAATCACTTTCTGAGTTGCTTTATGCATGTCAGTCCGTCTGTCCATGTATTTTTGTGAACAAAATGCATGTCGCATTTATTATCCGATTGAGATGAAATTTTGCAAACAACATTTGTTTGGCCCAAGGACGAACCCTATTGAAATTGGAGATAATCGGTAAAAAATTAGATATAGCTCCCATATATATCTTCGTCCGATTTGCCTTTTATTGTGCACCAAACGTGTAATATCAGCCCGAATATTGTGGCACATACAACCAAATTAGGCCTGAAAATAAGTATGCCAAATTTTATCGAAATCGGTTCAGATATAGCTATAGCTCCCATATATATTGTTCATCCGATTTGTTACAACAATAACAACAATATTTGGGGAAATATATCAAATGCAGCTCAGATTTGGATATAGCTCCCATATATAATTTCGTCCGATTTACCATTTATTGTGCACCAAACGTCTAATATTTGTCCAAATGGGATGGAATTTGACACATACGACCGAATTTAGTCTAGAAGGTAGTATGCCAAATTTGGTGAAGATCGGTTCAGATATAGTTATAGCTCCCATATATGTTGTTCATCCGATTTATTGTATTTGTTACCCACAGCCGTAATATGCACTCCGTAACAACGATATTCGGGGAAATATATCAAATACAGCTCAGAAATATCTTTGCCAAATTTTATCGAAATCGGTTCAGATTTGGATATAGATCCCATATATATTTTTATCCGATTTCAAATTAATTTCGAACCAAATGGGCAACACAAATCCGAATTTAAAAGATACAAATGCTTCGGCATATTTAGTCCTTTGAATTTTAAATTATAATTATAATTATAATCATAGCGTGTATGATTGAATTCTCCCATAAAAACTTTTAATTCTTAAGTGGAGCTCAACTAAATTAGCAAAGTGGTGTAGGATATCATAAAATCGGCCCGCCCGACTTTAGGACTTTCTTTACTGGTTTTTCAATTTGACTTACAACTTTTAATTGTAAATTTTCTAAGTGTTTACGTCCCGCAACTCTACGTTTTGAGGGTGCATGTCGCAATAATCTCCAATCCTCACGAAATTGTGCATGGGTGTAGGCTTAGAATCAGAATTAAAACCTATTGTTTTGAAGATGTATATTTTGGGGTACAAATGGATCAAAAAATTAAAATTTTCCTGATTTTGCAATCGGGTCTCAATTAAAACCCAATCAACACTAATTTTTTTTTTTGAATTTGGGATGACCACTGGATTACATTTAGCTGTAAAATGGACCAAAATTGAAGTGTGAAATTGTTTTGAATATATTACGAAAAGACGGAAATGGAAATGCAAGGGGTCAAAAAACCAAGTGTTGGATTCTTTGACATCATTTCAAAAACGAAATCTTCCAAAGTGGATTTGGACATAAGGGGCCTTACAACATATTATGGTGTTGTAGGGTATCACATGGTCGGTCCCGCATGGCCATAGCATTTGCTTACTTGTTAATAAATTGAACCCCTATACACATTTTTTTAATGTCAGGTCAAATTTCGCAAAACATTTCCGTCTGTTCACAATTATGGCCCGATTCGCATGAAATTTAAAAATTCGCCTATTGTGTATTTTGAAGTTCGCCTGTAAGTTATTTTCAGCGTTTCGGTAGAATGGAAATGTTCGTATTTTTTCGCATAGGAGTAGTGGTCTTTTCTACCTCTATTTCTTGCTCTTTTGTTCGTGTTTCTGTTTGTGTTTCAGGAACCTTTTTAGTTGTTAGCCCAGATTAACCTGTAAATATATAGTGGACATCTTTAAAAGCAACAGGCCTAGCCTTTCTGAGCGTAAAAGTAGGGACCTTATAAACATTTTTGTGAGGGTCGGACGATAATTGCAATCTGTAAATAATAACTCCAATCTGCTGAAAAAATATTACAAAATGTACATCACAATATTTTAAGTCAAACTAAAAAAATCGCATGCGATAAAAAAATATGAAAAAATATCAAAAAATACTACATAATCGATATTTTTAGACTTTATTCCGTTATGCCAAAAATTTGTCAAATTCGGCCCATACATCTTTTAGATATAAGCATTCTAGCTAACATTTATGACCTTAAAATTTTCATTATTAAAATTTTCGACTATTTGTGATTTCAACGGGATTTAGAAATATTCGCGGTTTAATGAAAAATTTGACTTTTGTAAAAGACAAATGTTAATGTCTATTTCACCCACTAAATATTATCCGATGACCATCCAAAGTGGAAGGCTAAGCTCTCGTCCCAAGCTAATGGTAGACGGTATAAAAAATTCCCAATTAAAGATGTCGAGAACGGTTTATAGCGAAAAACCCGTTGAAGTCCAGCTAAACAAAAGTTTCTATACAAATAACAACAACATATATTGTTATGTTTACACGATCACTGTAGAACGGCATTTTCCTACATTTCAATATTAACACATATTTCTTTAGGAACAGTCCTTTCGTTCGTTACCTTTTGTATCTTTTAAGTATTAAATAAGCTTCATATTGAGAGTGATATTTATTTAACCAGTTGTTGATGTTGATTCGTAACAAAACAAATTAAAACTCTGGAACAGATTTTTTAAATTTTGTGTTAATTTAACTAATGACATCACATTTGAAACATTTATCAAAATTCTTTGAATTTTAAACACATTTTTGTTTTCTTATTCACTTTAGTATTTTTCATTTTTGGCTTTGCACTTAAATTTTCTATTTTTAGTAACGATTTTTACGTCTTTTTGCACATCGTTTTGTTGTGAAAAACGTTTTCTTTATTTCTGTTTGAACATTCACACTTCCGCTGCACGTTCTCGTCCCGGAACCGTGACATTTACAACTAATCTATGACCGGCTAGAAAACCCAAAATCCCCCTCATTCACTCGAGCGAATGACAAACAAACCAGGCGGCATGAAAAGATGGCACAAGACATATTTTTGCGCTATGTTGTGCCAGATAGAGAATGACTGTTTTATTATTTGGCTTTGTGATTGTTTAGCTCACTTCATTCATGTTTAGTGGGGGATGTGCTCTCTCTCTCTCTCACTCCCAAAATTTCTCAACGCCACTCACAACAATCTAATGGCATTACTCCCCACTCGTAGAAAATTAGCCATGGGAAAAACATTTTCTTATTGGAATGTTGTAAATGATGGGGAAGGCAACATTTGTTATTCTTGGAAACACCACAACAACAAATGTTGACTGGAAAGTAATGAGGTGATGGCGAACATGTTGTGGCTCCACAAATGTTGTGTCAACATGTTTATTTTGAATATTCCACGATTTGTGTCTCTAATGAATATTGTCGTTTACGCTTTGGGGCAAGTTGTTATTCTTATTTTACCAAGCATTCTACATTAGCCATCATGGGCTGATTGTTTTGAATAGTATTGGTCTGGTATATTGTCTGCCCCATGGCAAAATGTTCGCTTGTGTGTGTATGTTGTTACTGATTTCCCGTTGATTTTATTACTAATTTTTATGTGCTTTTAGTTGTTTACTTCTACATTTATATGGATTTGTTTTCTTTTCTTGATTTTTTGCCCTGGCCATTCAGTATTTATCTGCAATTTACTGCTGGTGTTTTTATTTTGCCTTTTGATTTACTTCCCACTACGCCCGATTCGTCATGTAATTTTTTGTTGTTGTTTGTGTGTAGTTTTGTTTCTTTTTTTCGCCTAGATTTCATTTCTACCATTTACTAGCCATTCTCCTTACCCTGTGACAATTGATGGACATTTTTATTGGCCTTAGGTTAGGTTAGGATTTCTTTTCTATGTACTTTGGATTAATTCTTGTCATTGAGGTCACTTGTTTCCATGTTTATTTATTCGTTTGCGAAATAAAAAAGGGGAAAAATAACAAATCGGAAGGATATAAAACATTTTGATTAATGAATTTCCATTAGGTTAAAGCAGTCCATGTAGATAGATATAGACAGGTTCGTTTATTGCACCTAATGATCAATTCGGTATTAAATTTGAAAACATGTTGTAGGTAATTGGATTTTGTTTCAGGAAAATGCTTGAATTTGTGGTCATTAAAATAATGAATTGTATTATGGACAATATTGAACTAGGTGTTCGTAGTTTAGTAAATCAAAATAAACAGACTCTGAATTTATTGCTTTTCAGAGTCAGAAGGAAAGCCTATTGTTTTTGGAGATGCAACATACATCTGGACCAACAACAGAAAAATTTCCAGACTACCATTTTGTTTTTCCATAGGACAGTATTTAGTGAGTAAAACAGACAATTCATTTAATGTAAAAAATACGAAAATTTGAACTAAACCGCAAATTGGTTTAATCCCGTCGAAGTAACAAATGCATTACAGGTCACCTCTGGCCGTTACAGTGATGCTGATAGCCAATATGTCAGACACATATAGCACGAAAATGAGCTCGGTGTAAAGGCATTGAAATTCCACAAAGGGCAAGAACTTACACTGCAACAGAGAGAAAATGGACTCAAAAGAGCTAAAGAGTTGTTTGGCTTGGCCGAAAGTGGTGAACTGCCGAATTTGGTTTTCTCCGATGAGAAAACATTCGTTGTACAGCAGTTTGCAAACAAAGAGAATGATCGTGTTTACTTGCCAAAGAGGTCAGTTGAAAATGAACACCTTCGGTTGGCCACCAGGACTCAAGCGCCGGCCATGGTGAAGGTGTGGGCCGCCATAACAGCCGATTATCGCTCTCCGCTCGTATTAATCGACCGTGGCATCAGAATAAATGCCGAATATGATCGCGAAAATATTCTGGAGGGTGTATTAAAGCCTTGGGCACGCAGACATTTGGACCACAGATCTTGGACATTCCAACAGGACTCAGCACCATTGCACTCTTATTATTTCCGAAATTTTTTGCTTTCATTCAAAAAATTTAAAAAAATTATGGCTTTTACCTTTGTTGCAGTTTTTTTTTTATTAACCCTGTATATGAGATTGCATATATTTTTCTATATATACGATATCTTTGATATCAGCATCAAATCAGAAATTATGTTTTTGCATATTTGTGATTTTGCTGGAATTCGCGATTTAATGGAAATGCTCATTTTTTTAAGAGAACTACAAAAATACAATTTGAAAACATTTAATATTAAAATAAGAAACAGTCCATTTGCAACTAAATTGTTTGGACCCTACATTTAAAATTTTGAGAAAATAAGAAATTCATGAAATTTAGGAAAAACATATTATCGAATCATAAAATAATAATAAATATTGTTTCATTCAATAACTTACCTACTCACTCAACATGTGTGTAATATGGTTTTCCTACAAATAGGAGTATTGTGTGTCGATGCCTTTTTTTAATACTTTCCATACAAACAATGCTCGGACATTGTTTTTGGCCGAATAAATAGAAAACATTGTGTTCCTGGGAAAAACATTTATCGAAGCATTATTTCTAATAATTTGAATTTATGTTGCCCATAATATTCCAATTTGAAACAAATCAAACAAACAATAAATTTTAATTTGTGGGTAATTCTGGTGAAATAATAATAATGTATTATTAAATGAGTAGGTTCTGGTCCATACATGGAGTAAGATATTACTTTTAGGAATGTAGAGTTTTTTATTTTTCTTCAGAACAAAATTGACACAATACATAATATTCGTTTTGGATTCAAAGAAAATAGTTGCACAATCCCATATACTGCAAGAAATTGTCAGTTCAATCCCATACAGCATTAAAATACATAAAAAACAAGTTAAAAAGCAGTAAGTTCGGACGGGGCGAACTTTAAATACCCTCCACCATTTGGAACGAATTTGGAAATTTTCAAAAAATAAAATCTTTAAAAAATTCTGTTAAAATTTTAAAAATACCAAATATAGCCGTTATATTGGGGTCTATACGATGTGGACCTACATAGGAATTGTTTGTCATAAGGCATTACCTTATTCAAAATTGTAAACTTCAAATAATGTAGCTAAAATCATCAAAATATCGTAAATAGGGAGGTGCCGTTATATCGGAGCTGTGCGAAGACCTGGACCAGCATAGACCATTTTCTGTCATAGGCTATAGCATCCATTACTAACGTCAAATACGATATCTCAAACAATTTCGGTGGGTATTGTACCTAAATTCGTCAAAATACCGAATATAGGGAGGTACTGATATATGGGGCCTATACGAAGACCAGGACCTGTTTGGAAAATTTTCTGTCACAGATTGTAGTTGCCATTACGATCTCTAAATACGTAATTTGAAACAATTCCGGTGAATGATGTAGCTAAAATCATCAAAATACCGAATATCGTGATGTACCGTAATATGGGGCTAAATGAAGACGTGAACCTGCACAGACAATTTTCTGTCAAAGGCAGTAGTATCCATTTCGAAGAAATACCAAAGTTGAAACAATTCCGGTGAATAATGTCGCTAAAATCATCACAATATCGAATATCGGGAGGTACCGTTATATGGGGCTATATGAAAACGTGGACCTACATGACCCATTTACGAACTTAACCTGCCTCCTGGAAAAATAAACACGATTCGTTCGAAAGATAGCGTGATAGCAACAATGGCTAACAATGGCTAAATCGACTTAGAATTTTACGCTGATCAAGAATATATATACTTTGTTGGGTCTGACATGAGGATTTCGAGGAGTTAAAAACGGAATCCTCCATAGTATGGTGGAGGGTATACAAAAATACTACTACTACGACTACATTGTTGAACAAATTTATTATTATATGCTTGCCCGGTTCGCCTTGCTGGCTCGAACATTAAGTTATATATAATTTACAAATCTGGCTCAAATAAGTGGCAACCGCTTTATTATAAATAATGACTAAATAAAAATAAATACCCATGGCAAAAATGTCAATACATGTTCAAATAGCGGTCGTTTTAAATTCTTTTAAACAACATGAACCTATTTGGAAACATTTAGAAATGTAAATGATATAGCACATCTATTAACAAATATATATCAACTATTGGAATAACCCCATGTAAAATCTCAGCTAAATCTTTATACCCTACAAATTTGGAAATTAATTCAGCTATAGCTGTACCTCCCATATATATTGTTCATTCGATTTGTTATTTTTTCTCTCACAGTCGTAATACGCACTCACTAATAACGATTTTCAGGGAAACATCTCAAATACAGCTTAGAAAAACATTTCCACATTTTATCGAAATAGCTTCAGATTTCGATATGGCTTCCATATACATCTTTGCTCGATTTCAAGTTTATTTTGCAACAAATGAAACACGATTTGAGTGGATTTTGGCACATACAAACGATTTAAGCCTGAATGAAAGTGTATCAAATTTGGTGAAAATCGTTTCAGCCAATTATGTATTTAAACCCCTTGCAAAATGCTTTCTACAACAACGATATTTGGTTCCAACATAGAAATACCTCTACTAAATTTCATAGAGACGTTCGATTTGGATCCCATGTATATCATTATCCTATTCCAAGTTTGTTTATATTTTATGGGTAGCTCTACTAAATATGCAAATAAGTGTAGAATATCATAAAGCCGGCCCGCCCGACATTGGTCCTTTCTTTACTGGTAAGTATAATAAAAAACATAGCAACATTTTTCATTCAAATGACCAGTAATTTGGAATTTGCAATGTTTAGAAGATCGTGCTGCGTGGGCAGAATTATTTCAGAATAGTCAAACTTAAATAATATTTTTTATCCCCTTAGTTGATGCCAAGAGCCAAATCAATTGAAAAATTTGGCCAAGACCACGGAAAAGCTAACATCGAGGGACACATTCTTGTGGGGGTTAAACCAAATCGTGGGTATATACAGGGTGAGATAAAAAACCTGCAACAAAGTCAAACGCCATATATATATTTTTTAATTTTGTTGAATAAAATCCGGATTGGTATCCGGAGATTTTGGTGGCCATTGTGTGCTGTAAATGAAGCGAGGAACCTCATTGTGTAACCATTATTGAGTGG